GTTTTCACCAGGCTGCTCTGGTTTGTGGCTGGTTCACCAACAATTCAATAACATCTTTCTGCTTGCATATTTTCCCTTCCTGAACCCCTTAAAAGATTTTTTTCAGCATGGTGGTGGAAGGTCTATGACAGAGACCCCTAGATTCATGTTTACCTCCTCCTGGCCATGAAGGAAGTTTGTTTGGATGATACAGCTGAGGCTTGCCAGGGATGGATAAGGCATGCATGGAATTATTTCGCCCACTGCCGAGCTAGGGCACATATTACATGTGATGTCGATGAGAGTGTCTGACCTAACCTAGACTGGAGACAGGATGCTGAGGTTTATTTTTTCTTTTTCTTTCAAAGCCTTTATGTACAAACAGATTTTTGATTGGTTTACAATTCATTGGTTGGAAAATTGTACTGTTTTGTATAGTAAATAAAAGAATCATAAAAAGTATTGTGAAAATGTATACATTTGTTGTGATTCATATTGTCATTATGTGAAGAGGTTGCTGGGGAGAACTACTGTATAAGTAACATTACTCATTGCAGTAACATGTTTGTATGGTAGTGTTTTGAACGGATATTACCATGGTATGATGGCTACTTTGTAGTGTATGTGATTTTGACAGATTTTCTGTGATGTCTGAAGGCAAAGTTTCATTTTGATGCATGATTGCATGGTTTTGAGTAGACAGCTTGGTTTTGACTTGGAAGTTTGAGGAGTTGAGTGTAGAGTACCTTTCATTTTAGAGTTTTGGGAAACAGAACATAATTTCAAGAAATGTGTCTTGACAACTGACATGATTGTGAAGCAGCTCAGGTTTGGTTACACTCTTTAGCCAGCATCTCTCATCGACATCCTACGGTGCTACAGTACCGAGCAGTGAGCACAGACCCTACTAGAGGACGTCGGGCCCTCAGGACACCCTCATGAAGTCTGTTTCTGATTGTTTGGTCAGAGACATTCACACCAGTGGCCTGCTGGAGGTCATTTTGTAGGGCTCTGGCAGTGCTCATCCTGTTCCTCCTTGCACAAAGGAGCAGATACCTGTCCTGCTGATGGGTTAAGGACCTTCTATGGCCCTGTCCATCTCTCCTAGAGTAACTGCCTTCTCCTGGAACCTCCTCCATGCCGTTGAGACTGTGCTGGGAGACACAGCAAACTTTCTGGAAATGGCACATATTGAACACCACCTGGAGGAGTTGGACTACCTGTGCAACCTCTGTAGGGTGCAGGTATCGCTTCATGCTACCAGTAGTGAAACTGACCGTAGCCAAATGTAAAACTAGTGAAAAAAAAAATCAGAAAAGATGAGGAGGGAAAAATGTCAGTGGCCTCCACCTGTTAAACCATTCCTGTTTTGGGGGTCGTCACAGGCCTATAACATGATTGAACCTTACAGTAGAATGCTCTGTGTTTTTTTTTCTCCAATGCATAGCGCCTCTGGTTGTGACCAAATAACTCTACCCTAGTCTGTGCACAGTATTTCTTCTGACTGCCTGGCGACTGGAGGAAGCGGTGGCACCGGCTTGTCATCTCCCCCCTGCTCCCCGTTTGTGTTTCAGATTTGACTGTATTTGACTCTCCCTGCCGGCCCCTGGAGGATGGGCTCCCCCTTTGAGTCTGGTCCCTCCCAAGGTTTCTTCCTTCTAGGGAGTTTTTCCTTGCCACTGTCGCCTATGGCTTACTCACTGGGCTTTGGGTGGAGATGCTGTAAAGCGCTTTGGGACAATGTAATGTTGTGATAATGCGCTATACAAAAATAAATTTGTTGTTGTTGTTGTTGTTGTATTTTTTTCCAAAATGTATATGGCTTGTCCAGATGCACTTTTGCATACCTCATGCAACTCTTCTTGTGGTGAGTACTCAGAAAAGACTTTCTGCGCATCACCCTTCCACTGAGCTGTTCCCGGTGCTACGTGCGCTGAACTATGGAATGATGTACAATGACATCATCAGCATCCAGATGTTGTTGTAGCTCTCTGGTGGTGGTCTGTGACCCTTCTAACTAGCCTTCGCCTGTACCTTTCATATATATTTTTCTTGGCCTATCACATCTTTCCTTCACAAGCATTGCTCCTGTAGCCTTCCATTTCCTACCTATATTTCTGACTGTGGAGAGAAACAGTCCACACCTTTGTGATAATTTCTTGTACCCTTCTAATTCATAACGGCAAATTATCTTAGTTTTTAGGTCAGTATGGCGTTCTTTAGAGGTCCCCATGTTGCCACTCTGTAAGAGAGAACCAAGGACAAGCACAACTAGCAATTACCTATGTCAAATAACCTTTTTCATGATTGGTCACATCTGCCTTTGTAGTTTAAGGTCTAATGAGTTCATCAAAGCAATTTTGTGCTGCAACCTGTCAGCATTGAATGACTACAGGTCTTCAAATTAATGCAATTAAAAGAGCACCCAAACTTTTGCACATCCAATTTTTTACATTTTATTTTATTTTATGCAATTATACTGAGAATTTTGTCTGATAAACATCCCTTTGTGTACATTTCTCTAAAATAAAAATGGCATATTGCTGTGATCTTCTCTTATGAAGACAGAGCAAATTATCATGCAACCTCAGAGGGGTGCCCAAACTTTTACATAACACTGTATATACAGTGCCCTCCACAATTATTAGCACCTCTTGTGAAGACTTGTAAAAGGGGTTAGAAAAAATCTACCTTTCAGTGAAGTAGCTTCATCTCACAATGGAAAAATTAGAATTTTATCACTGTTCATGTAAAGGGCATGCAATGGATTTAGGGCAAGCAGTGAAATTTGGGCACAGGGACAAAGAAAATGGCTCTAAAGTATGACTCAGTTCCCTTCCTTCATACCGAAGACTTGGATCATGAACCTGTCATCGCTATTCATTTCTCTATAATGGAAGACAACAGAGGCATGGTGTCCATGTTTTATACCAGGGGTGGCCAATCTTATCCGCAGAGAGCCAATATGTATGCAGGTTCTTGGGATAACCTTTAGGTCAGTTGTTCAAACCCAAGTGTGAGCACTCATTTAAATTTAAACTCATATGAATATAAACTTTAATCAAATCAGACAGGTTGAATGACAGAATGTCTAACCGGAGAACAATTTCCAATTCCAAATTCTGACCATTGCTTGAAGAAATCGTAATACCAAATCAAACTGCCGAACTCTGCTGACACAACCACAGACCCACCCTTTAAATTCCAGATTCATGAAGCTAAACTGCTATCGAATAGGTTTAGTTCCATGCCTTCTTTGCCATGGAGATAGTCTGAGTTAATTTAGGATTCTGCTCTAAACCCATTCTCTGGAATACCTCACCCCCCCGGCCTTTAATTGAATCTTGGTTTTTATTTGAGAAAATATGGTATAAATAATCCTGGGGAATTTTTAGATCTCCAAAAAAGTTGAACATTTTTAAAAATTAGTTTAAATGTAGGTTACTGTAATTATGGTGGTGACATTTGTTACTGCTAATGTATTTTTGCGGGATGTATTTTCTGGAAAAAATAAAATGAAAATACAATATCCACTTTGCCATTTAGTTTTCAATGTCTATGAGCAAAAATCTTGCCAAAACTGAAAATTAAAATGAAATAGGATCATTTGGATTTTAATTTTCCACTCATGCATTAGTCAGATGTGATACATTAAAAAAAATTATAATTAAAAAACCTTTTTGTCTTTTCATTTTCTAGTTTGCTTTTTCATTTTCAAGTTCATAACATGCAAATATATGTTAATTGGAGCAGGGCAATGGGCGGAGCTATGGATCACTGCAGTGCTTTCTCAGGGTGTTTGCCGATTCTGTTGTCCCCGTGTTCCTTGTGCATGGTTGCCCATGTCGCCAAAACTAAAGGCAAAGTCACACGTGGCCTAAGTTAACCACTTATTTGCAGCTTCCTTATTTAGCTTCTTATTCGTAGCGTCTTATGCTAGTAAAATCGGTCACACTTCAAAATGCAATCAAATACACCACAATTCCTTCATAATACTGTCACTATATATGTAGTTTCACAGACATATTGTTGTATTCGTGTCTGATTTGTGCAAAACAGTCTGCACACCTCCAAGGTGAATTAGTTTAGTCTTGACTTGTTGTTGACATTGTTGGGATGGGTTATGTATTCATACTGAAGTGCCAAATTAACACAAAAGAAAAGGTATAAGCAATTTTATTGTATTTAAGGTGTCAGACTCATACTGTATTTCAATGGAAATTCAAAGTCAAAATTTTTGCCACATGCAGTTGTACTGTGCAACATACAGTGAAAATCTCAATCTAGCAGGTTAACGGATTGTGCTATATAAAATACGGAATATTTATTACGCTAGCTATAATAAATAATAACACAACATTGTATGATTGTGGTGCAAAAGTGCAAGGCTAGGTAGGTGAATGTGCAAAAATGCAAGTGAGGTGAAAAGGGTGACATTCAAAGAGAGAGACAGAGAATTATTGTGAACGTGTATGCAGCTGTAGATTGTCCATGATGTGCTGTTGCTGAAAACTCCTATCCTTATATTTAATAAATGTGTTGGATTTAAACTGCAAAAAGTACCGCCACATCACTGACATGTTTTTTTACCATGTTTATCCACAGTATTGCATCTTTAAGAAGATGTTGTGGCTCTTGAGCTTTGGGGTGTGCAGCTTGGCGGTCTCTCAGGGGCAATAGGCCCACCGGAAGTGAAGACAGTTAGTTAGAGGTGGTTTAGTAATAGGTATTGGAGTTAGGGTGGGATCCTTCTTATTGTAGCCACCTATCTCAAAAGTGGGGACCTGTTAAAATCGAAAATCCCCTTGGAAGTAATACGTTATGTAGTGATATTTTACCTGCCTCTGGCATCCCCTAATGTTCTAAACAATGCTAAAAAATACATTTAATGGAAAAATTCCTCATCTCTTCAGCCATAAATGTTCAACAATTTTCTATAGGCCATATTTGGAGTAAAATCACAAGTCAAAAGAGAAACTCAGATTTTAAAGCATTAATACAAAAAAGATGAATGGGCTTACCTTCAGTTACACCCCACAGGATGAATGCTAAGGAAACCATGATTGGTGGGATTGTGACATGTGAGCAGTGACTCAACAGAGCCTGTTTGCTTTCATCTATAGACAGAAAGTAGAACAAAATTTAACCACAAGCTGGTTCATACAAAGTTTAATGATCTACAGCCATCCTCAGATGGTCATTCTGCTGCATGCTCACCTACAGACAACCAGTACAGACAGTTAATGTTGTCACAATACCAAAATTATGACCTTCATACTGATACCACTTTATGTATCACGATACCAGTACTAAATGATACCAATGCAGAAAAAAACAGTTAAGTATTGTTCATGGTAAATTATGCATTTATGTCACTGATATTCAGGAGACATTTACCTGAAATTCATTTAAGTTGTTACTCTTGTAATTATAATGAAGCCGCACTCCACTCCAGTACATACCCCCATACTGCTAAGCATCATATTATGATTGCTCTGATTTGTTCAGTTACAAGGAAAATGATAATACATTCTATTAAATTCATAAAGGGTATATCCACCTCCAACTGCACTTCTGCTTTATTGTTATTAAAATGTATGCGAGAGGGGTGGAGCACTTTGTGTAAGGAGAGTATTAGAGACTACTGGGGAGGAGGGGGAACAATATGGAATCAATTGGTATGGATTTTGAGAGGGTACTGCGCTGACTCATATAGAAAGATTAGTGGACGTTTCGAAAGTTTTATGCTTGTATTGAAAGGTTACTGGACATGTTTAAAGGTTTGTGGGCGTGTTGAAAGGTGGGCATTTCGACAAGAATAGGATGTGTCCGAATTCAGGGGGCTGCATTCTAAGACTGAGTGCATCACAGCAAGATGACAAGGGTGTCCCATTTTGAAAGCTCCGTCAAATGTGGTCTAGGAATGCGTCTTCATTTGCAGAGTTGCGAAGGATCCACTCATTGGGCCCTTCGTAGCCCAACATATCCCAAGATTAAGATCTCTAAAAGAAATAGCTTACAAAGGCTATGTAGACTGTGTCCTTCAAAGACAAAAGAATAACGCATTTCTAAGATGCATTCGAAGGAGCCTTCGAAACGGGACAGCCTTGTCACACTGCTGTGAAGTCGGTGGAGCCAAACATGTCATTTCCTTAGTACTTTCTGGAAGTATGGCAGCAACTGTAAACAAGCGTAGCATCTCCAAATTTCTGCATCGGAAAATGTAATAGATAACCAATACACTTTTGTCTAGTATTGTTGGTACCAGCAGTGAAACTTGCCAGCGCTTATTATCATTACACAGTTTTTTATTCTGTGGAAAGTGAAAGATGGATCTGCTGGCCAGATTTAATAATGAATTATAAACATGTTGCAGGTCGTATAAATATAAATAAAAGACTGTGCCCCATTTTTATCGCGATCAATCCCCCAATTGCTAAAAAAAGACATTTATTCTCTGTTGTTTTGGAGTGCCGATGTAGATTCACATGAAATTACGTGTGAAGTTTACCCTATGAGCTTTTTGAGTCTTCCATATTTATTAAGTGTAAAGGTCCCAGTTCCTGTTGTGTGGTGTGAAAGTAACATACAAAGTGGCCAGAAGTTACAAAAGCTCCAGGTTGAGACAGCCCAGAGACCAGTAAGCAAGGACTGGGTTGTGGAACTTCGGTGTAAAAGCACCTAAATGTCTAAGACTATATGATCAATTATGAACCACCCACTACTCCATCCTGCAGAGACTCGCGTCTCCTGATGAATGAAAAAGAAAAAAACATGCAAGCACGCAAAACTGCAAAACATATTTCAGCTGTGATCAAACTGATCACCAGTACTCTCCACTGTAAGAAAAAAGCCAATAGATAATATGACCTAAGTACCCATAAAGGTTACAGCAGTTTCCTATGCGTTCTTCAATTCACCTGCTCAATAAACATACTGTAGCACTAGGGAAGACCTAGGGAAGCACTAGGGAACACTGAGCAGAACAACATGTTGGACCAGTGCTGAATGTAAATAGTTCTGTGTGTTACGTATAGTGGTGTTATTGTGCTGTATAGTAATGTCATGTGTAGCGTTAATGTTAACTGTACATAGCAGTGTGGTTGTGCTCACCGTGTGTGGTGTGGGAAGTCAGGGCGGCTAACATGGTGTGCAGTGTGGCTATGTAGAGTGTGAGTGGCAGACAGTGAATAAGCTACCTTGTGACTAAACAGCACCATTGCCTGCCTTATCAATAGGAACACCATGTGTGGTATCCAGACTTCCCACGTAGTGCATTATGCTTGATTATCGAACTGCGTAAAACACAGTGTAGCATAATAACCTGTAGGTACAGATGCTAGTTTGATGATCTGTTTACTATATTATAAGATCCCCTATATAAATAACTGACTTAGTTTGGACACATTTAGCCCATGGTTGTGATTCGATGGTTAGCATTAGCAATATTTAGCGTTAGTGTCTATAATACTGCATTTAGTACAGTACTAAAAAATGTAATAGTGAACAACTTTCAAAAATGTGGTACCGCAGTAACTTTTGAGTACTAGTATCCCATGCTACACTACTCTCAGTCTTCCTAGATGAGGCTCCTGCATTATTTTTAGTTTCAGTTTCCTGGTCCCCATAAGGGGAAACTATTTTATAAAAATCCGTGACGGCAATGAAAAAACTAAAAATGCAAAAACTCTTGTATTTTGCTTGGTTACTTATGGTTATGGTTAGGGCTGGGTAGGGGTTAAGGTTGTCATAGTTAGCATTAGCATTTTTCCCATAGAAGTGAATGAGTGGTCCCCATAAGGATTGGTATACCCGACTAAGCGCGTGTGTG